AGGTCTCGAGTGGGACATGGGGGCTCGGCTGAACGTGTCTGGGCGTGTTTGCACTGATGGGGTCCTTAGTTATCTCCAGAGCACGAAGTATTCTGCCTTTGAAAAAGGCTGTCTGAGGGCGCTTTTTTGCAACGCGGTGTACACTCGTACGCGTGCGGCAGACCTAGGCTACCAGCTGCAGAACGTGCTGTGCCCGCTGTGTGGCGAGGCGCCTGACACGCTCCGCCATAGATTGTGGGACTGCCAGTGTCCTGATGTAGTCGAACTAAGGAACTCGATAGTGCCCATTAAGATCCAGAAGTGGGCGAGCCAGGTGGACGACAACTTGGCTGTCTTTGGGGCGTTTCCTCACCCAGGTGATGTTTTTCCTGCTCCGTTGGATAAAGGTGGTATTCAGGTGGAGTGGGCCCAAGGAGAGATTGGGGACCTTCATAGTGTGTTCGCTGGAGACATGTTCGTGGATGGATCGTGTTCGCGTTACATTGTGAAAGATGAAGCGGTCGACGAAAGGGATCGCTATTTAAGACAGGGCAATGCGTGGGCTGATACCTCGGCCAAGGTTGCGGCATCCTTGCATCCTGCCCCGTCGGTCGTGCTGCGTGAGGGCCTGGATCTTTCCGTGGCCGTGGCCCGAGCTGTAGGACGTTTGGGTGCTAGATTAATGTCTTTGTGGCCTAGATTAAACTTGGGCAAAGATTTAGAGCGAATCAAGCCGCCTGCTAAAGAGCAGGCTCCTGCGAAACCTTCACATGAATGGCATTGGGTAGGCTCGTATTGGCAATGTGCTACGTGCTTGCGTGGTCGTCGTGGCACGTTTGGCGTCGAACCTCCTGGTGGGTCATGCTCGCTCGCTTTGCATGTGCACCCGTCAGTACTTCGTGATCTAGGGCATAGATGTGTGCTCATAGACTGTACGGATGGTAGTTTCGTTTGCATTTGCCACAAATGTGGTTATTACACGTCGGGGGGTCGGCTTGATCGCCTAGGGGCAGTCTTTGGCACTTCGTTTGCGAGGACGCTTGCGGCGGCGTGCGCACGGAAGGAGCAGATCCGCTGCACTTAAGGGCCCCTTAAGTGCAGCGGGCTGTCTTGGCCTCCATCGCGTCGGTGCTCGAGCTGGCTCGTAGGGGCCTGCATCCCAAGGCGGGCGGGCCCCTCGAGCCGCTTGTTTTCTCGGTGCTCGGGGTGCCTGCGATGCTCAGCAGGCGCCCGAGCCTGAGGCACCTGATTAGTGGGCGGGTGCGGGCGGGGGGCGCGGTGCGAGTGGGGACTGCCCGGCGTTGCGCCGTTAGTGACCCTCGCACCGTTGCTCCCCTGCCCCGCGCACGGCGCGGAGAGCGCCCCTTGTTGGATGAGGGCCCTCTCTCGTTCCTTTTTCGAGGCGTGTTCGTGATTCACCTGCACGCTCTCGGCACTGTCCTCGCTGTCCTCCTCCCCATGTTGCGCTGGATGCTTGTTGAAAAATTTGGTCAGGACTTTCGCCAGCACGGCTGGCATGGCTAGTCGGCCACGGGCTGACTGTAACACGTTAAATCTTCCCTGCCAATTAGCTTGCTGCAAGCAGCTGCCGCGGCTCGCTTGTTGCCTGTACTTTGTTTCCTGTGACTGACCCTGTACAGTGGGTCCGTGTCTTTCCTGGAGTGCGGGGTGGATCGATCGGTCCTCCTGACTGCTGCTCCTGGATCCGTTTGCAGCTGCCGTAGAGTGTGGCGCCGACGCCTACTCTGCTCAGTAGTTGCTTGCTGGGTCTCTGCATCACGGCCCCTTCGGAGGGCTCCCGTGTTGCACCCTGCTCGGGTGGCGGCTGCAGGTTGTATAGCTCTTCCTCGCCGCCCAGTCTGCTGTCCTTGTATAGTGGACAGCCCGAGCCGTGCTGCTGCGCAGTGATGTGCCTTCACCGCTGCGTTCCTGTCTTTTTTTTTTCTCGCTGGCACTCGCCACGCCAGCGGAGTCATGTGGCTGATCATGGGTCGACCCCAAAAAAAATCCTCCTCCTCCTCCCCCTCCCCCTCCCCCTCCCCCTCCCCCTCCTCCTCCCCCTCCTCGCGTCAGGCGCTACGGCCAAGGCGCCGCCATATGGCGGGTCCGGCACAGGCCGAGGTCTGCGCGGACCTCCGCAAATTTGCGCGGCTGCGCTTACGACTGACTCAAATACACACCACCACCACCACCACCACCACCACCACCACCACCACCACCACCACCACCACCACCTCCTCCACTCCTCCTTCCTCCTCCACCCTCATCTTCCTCCTCTGTTTCCTGGGAGAGGGACGGGATGAGGGAGGTGGTGGTGGTGTATACCTTTGGTCCCCGGGGGGGCCTCGGGAGCCCAGCAGGGGCACCAAGCGAGTTCCCCTCCCGGCCACCCCGGGATAATCCCTGGGCAACTCCGGGCAGCCCCGGGAAATCCCGCCCAGAAGGCGAAACACGTCCGCATGCGACTCTGAATTGTAAAGCAAGTCCACGTTGAACGCACGAGTGTGAAATGCATGCGACGCAAGTGCGAATACGAGTAAAGGAAGGAAAACATGTGAACACAAGGATACAAAAAAACACAAGCAAATGAGTGGGTGGACCAAATGTGATCATACACACAAAAAGTACGCATGTGGACGATCAGTTCATATAGACTATGACAAAAAATAGCGAATGCACAACGCAAGTGTGACAAAAAACGACTGGGCGTCCGAAATGTGAGCAGCAGCTCGGCCTGGAAGCGCAGCCTTGCCCGCCCCCCTCCCCAGGCGAACCAGAGCCCTGGCCAAAGTCCGTCCAAGGGCCCCCAGGCCCCTCGGCACGGGGCCACGGGCCTGGGGCCACGAGCCTGGGTGACCCGCCGAGTCCCTCGAGCTTCGGGGCCATGGCCACAAACAGGTGAGCGGCGGTCAGCGACGGGTCTTACGCGAGATGGCACAGCGCCCTTACGCGGTTGCTTACGCGGGCCGCGGGGGCGGCACGCGACCTTGGAAACGAGGGCGCCTGCGCGCGACCTTAAGCGGGGAGCTTACGCGCCAATGTCGGCGCAGTCGAACCTGTTTTTTTGCGTCGCTCAGGTGACCTGCGGCGTCTGCTGTTGGTGGGGCTCGGCGAGATCCAATCCCAAAGATCCTCGCAGTGCGATACAGGATGCCCCAAGAGCCGGCTGACGCCGTTCCTGGACAGAGAGGCCAGGCCACAAGCGTATTTCCCAAACCTCAGCAAATTAATGTTCTGCATCTTCGAGAACTCTTGGGGGTCCTCTTGGAGGCCATGGGCTGTCTTGCAGACCTCTTCGGCAATCTCAGAACCACCGTCCCAAACAACTGAACAGCCGTACAAACCGATATGTCAACCAAGAAACCAAAAACCGACTTGCAATGTAATACAAAACAACATCTCAAGCACGATTTTGGAGATTCCAGAAGCACGGACCACGAACGCTCGGTAATCAAAAGCACGCACGGGTATCAACCAGCAAACTGCAGTTTCACTTGTGATCAATGGTACGAGAAGGATGTGGAATATGTACGAACACCTCGAAAACAACCAGGCTTCAAAACGGAAGAAATGCATCATACAACCATGTGTTTGCACCAGCAAAACTGTGGGCATGGTCTGGCTTCCAGAATAATATCACTTTTGCTTCATGCGTTTGTAGTGAGGCTGTTGTTTCAGATGTTTTGACCGTTGCCCAGATTTCTACACGTCACACGTACGCTAATTCCAAGCAGTACGCGGTGCAAAGAGAGGCTTCACGCCGTTTTTTGTCTCAAACATGTTGTTCTCATACAGCTAATGCACTCGATTGTTACAGTCCTGCTTGGCTGATACTTGATGCACACTCGTTGCTCAAAGTCAAGTTTACTCAGACTTTTGATACCAGACCTCTTCGGAGATGTACTTTGGTCTCGTACTTGCCTCATTGTTTTTTCCTGGTTTTACTCATGCAGCGACGACCTACTGGTCCACACAACTCTGGAGGACGTTGGCCGCCACGGCCGCGGCGGTCGAGTCGACGACGCTACGGTCGGCAGCGCGGAAGTCGGCGACGACGACGACGACGACGACGACGATGACGTTGGGAGGCCTAGATGGGGAAACCAACAGGCACTGATACCGCTACTCCCCAGACCTCTCCCGGAGGGCGCTCTGACGCGAATTCTGGAGGGAATGCAGCGCTGGCGACGAAACCCTCCAAAGGAGGCCGAGACAGGGGGAAGCGAGGGGCAAAGGTGGCGGTATGGACACCCGCGGGCCGGAAAAGGTGTCCGGAAACATGAGGTAGACAGGCGTTGGAAGTAGATTGAGCTTCGACCCGCCCCCTGAAGAGGAGGGAACGAGGGAGACGGCGGCCAGAGTAGGGCTCTGGGAACCCGAATCACCTGCTCTCAACAACCGGCGTGCACCTTTCCTTCTCTGAACGACGACGACGACGACGACGACGACGACGACGACGACGACGACGACGACGTTGGGAGGCCTAGATAGGGAGACCATGGAAGGTCCCGACACCGCTACTCCCCAGACCTCTCGCGAATCCAGCGGTGGCGACGAGGGCCTCCGAGGAGGCCCAAACAGAAACGGGAAAACGGGTGAAGGGTAGAGGTATGGGTACCCTTTAGATGCTCATTCTGGGGACCTTCCTGGAGCCACTCGCTCCACTCGTGCGTCGAAGTTGCGTCGAACCTGAGTCGAATCTGAGTCGAAGCCGCGTCGAACCTGAGTCGAATCTGAGTCGAACCTGTGTCGAACCTGAGTCGAGCTTGAGTCGAACCTGAGCCGAAAAGATCCATTAGGTGGGACCCAGGAAGGCCCCCAAAACGAGCATCGAGTACCCTTGTGCTCTTCTGACAAAAGGTCCTCGACGAGCACCATGGAAGGTCCCGATACCGCTACTCCCCAGACCTCTCGCGAATCCAGCGGTGGCGACGAGGGCCTCCGAGGAGGCCCAAACAGAAACGGGGAAGCGGGTGAAGGGTAGAGGTATGGGTACCCTTGTGCCCTTCTGACAAAAGGTCCTCCGCGAGCACCCAGCCCCCCGGGCGGGCGTCGAACAGCAGCAGGCGCCGGGCGGTGAGCACCAGCGCCCGGCGCGCGCACCGGCGCGGGCGGCACACCGCCGGCGGCTCCGCGCCAGGCGCCGGCAGGCCAGCAGAGTGCAGCACCCACTCGGAGAGCACGCCGCGGTCCGCCTCCGATCGGGCAGGCAGGCAGGCTGAGCCGAGCATCCGGAAGGACGCGTGGGCAGAAGAGTGCACGATTGGCAGCTCTTCGTGGAGATCTAAAGTACACCCCCCGCTCGACTGTGAGGCAGAAGAACGGGTTGCGCATCATGGCTGTGAGGCAGGAGACAAAAGAGGAGCGGGAGGGGAACGAGGAGCGGGCGAAGTGGAGTCACAAACAGATCTACAGATATCAACAGGAGAACGACAAGTTACATGAATCTAAAACTCAAAGGTCCGCGCGGATGTCTCGGATCGGCGTTGGGGCCCCCTGGCAGCGCCTCTGGCGCCGCCCCTGGCGCGCTCCGCGCGCGGTCCAGCGCGGGTCCAAGAAATCCCCGCGGACCTCCGAGTCTTCTTATGTTTATAGCATGTTTCGTTCCCCTAATCAACTGCACCCTGGCCAGGGCCGCCCTGAAACATCCAGCACGTAGATACGCCACGCCCTCATGGCTGGGATAGCCTGGCGAGCCAGGGTGCGCTGCTGTTCGAGGCCGGAGGGAGTTCCGTGCGCAGGCCGAGGGCTACGCGCAAAACTTCAGAGTTCGACTCTGCATGCCAATTTCCCATCGCTTCACGAACTTATAGTTTTCTTCCCACGTCCTCCTGCGGACCGATTCGGTTCGACCGGGCCTAGGGGCCCAGTAGGCGGGCACGAACTTACACCTCCGCCCCGCCCCCAAGAGGCCCAAATCAGGCCCCAATACTGAACCCCGAAAGGCCCTGGAGAGGCCCCCAAACAACCCCAAAGCCGCCTCCAAGAGGGTTCGGAGAGGTCTCCCAATCTATTCCCCCAGGTATGCCAGGGGCCTCTGAAAGACAACCAAGGCACGGTGGCGGGATGGGCCAAAGGCAACTAGATCGGCCGCCCCCTGTCGATTCATCGCAGGGATGCCTGGCGTGCTGGATTTTTACGGTTTTGGTTTTGGTTATTTTTCCAAGAGAACTCTCCCAGTGGGTTTCGGCCCGTCCCGCCAGCCGCCCCCCAAGACCCGCAAGACGCACACGCTATCGCCCAATCCCAATTCTTCCTCCAAGACGGCCCAACATGGCCTCCAGGATGGTCACGTTGGCCCAAGATGGCCTCCAAGATGGTCCAAGATAGCCTCCAAGTCCACCCAAGATGGTCCAAGACGGCCGACGAGACGGCCCAAGACGGTCCAAGATACCTCCAAGTTCGCCCAAGAAGCCTCCAAGACGGCCCAAGAGGCCTCCAAGAGGTTCTCCAGGAGGGCCCGAAGATCGTCCATTTTACGATGGTTTTGGAAGGATGTTGGCTTTTTGTCTTTTCGGCTTTCCGACGCTCCAAGACAGCCAAGGAGGCCTCCAAGAGCGCCCCAAGACGGCCCAAGAGGCCTCCAGGAGCGCTCCAAGACGGCCCAAGACGGCCGCAAGAGGGCCCAAACACGGCCCAAGAGGCATCCAAGACGCCCAAGATGGCCTCCAAGACGGCCCCGAGGCGGCCCGAGACGGCCCAAGAGCCCCCAAAGATCGCCGAAAGATCGCCCAAGAGGCCTCCAAGACGGCCAAGATGACCTTCAAGATGCCCACGTGTTCCCCGAAGGCTTTCCAAACCAACTCGGGGAACACATGGTCCGATGGCTTGGCAGGTCTGGCCTCAACGTTCGGCCACATAAGCGCTTCCAAAAAGGCAGGGGGCGGCGGTGGTTCGCCGTAGGCGTCTTCGATCCGCCGCCCCCTGTGGATTCATCGCAGGGGTGCCCGGCGTGCTAGACCCTTTCGGTTTTAGTTTTGGTTCTTTTTCCAAAAGAACTCCCCCTGGCGCTTCGGCCTGTCCCGCCGGGGTCCCGGGAGGATTGCCCAGGACCCCAACGTCCCGAAAAAATCCTCCAAGACGGCTCAAGATGGCGTCCAAGATGGCCACGTTGGCCCACGATGTCCTCCAAGATGGCCTCCAAGTCCGCCTAAGATGGTCCAAGACGGCCTCCAAGACGGCCCAAGAGAGTCCAAGACGGCCCAAGACGGCCCAAGAGGCCCCCCAGAGGCCTCCAAGACGGCCCAAGAGGCCTCGAAGAGATCCTCCAGGAGGGCCCGAAGAGGCCAAAATTATTGATTTTCTTAGGTTTTTGAAGGATTTGGGGGTTTGCTTCTTCTCGGCATTCCGACGGCTCAAGACGGCCCAAGAGGCCCCCAAGATCGCCCAAGAGGCCCCCAAGAGGGCCACATGACGGCCCAAGTGGCCCCCAAGACGGCCCCAAGACGGCCCAAGAGGCCTCTAACACGCCCAAGATGGCCTCCAAGACGCCGAAGATGGCCTCCAAGACGGCCCCGAAGCGCCTCAAGAGGGCCCCAAGTCGGCCCAGAAAGGCCCCCAAGACGGCTCCCGACGGCGTCGGATGTGCCAGGAACCCACCAAGATGGCCGAAGTTGGCTCAAAGCTGGCCCAAGACGGCCCAAGAGGCCCCCAAGAAGGCCTCCAGGAAGGCAAGAAGAAGCACAACATTGATTTTCCTTCGGTATTTGACGGATTTCGACATTTGCTTCTTTTCGGCCTTCCGACGGCCCGAGACGGCCCAAGAGCCCCCAAAAATCGCCGAACGATCGCCCAAGAGGCCTCCAAGATGGCCCCAGAACGGCCCAAGAGGGCCCCAAGACGGCCCCAAGAGACCCCCAAGACGGCACAGGAAGCCTGCATTCCAAGAGGACCCCAAGTCGGCTCATACAGGCCCCCCAAACGGCTTCCGACGGCGTCAGACTGACCAGGAGCCCACCAAGACGGCCGAGGCCCTAAGATGGCCCAAGACGGCCCAAGAGGCCTCCAACAGGGCCTCCAGGAAGGCCCGAAAAGGCCAAAATCATTGATTTGCCATGGGTTTTTGAAGGATTGTGGCATTTGCTTTTTTCTGCCTTCCGACGGCCCGAGACGGCCCAAGTGCCCACAAAGATCGCCCAAGAGGCCCAAGACACGGCCCCAAGAGGCCCCCAAGACGGCCCAAGAGGTCTCCAAGACGCTCAAGATAGCCGCCAAGACGGCCCAAGAGCCCTCCAAGACGTCATCCAAGAAGGCCCGAAAGGGTCAGAATGGCCTCCAGACGGCCAAGATGACCTTCAAGATGCCCACGTGTTCCCCGAAGGCTTTCCAAACCGATTCGGGGAACACATGGTCCGATAGCTCGGCAGGCCTCTGGCCACAACCTTCGGCCACATAGGCGCTTCCAAAAAGGCAGGGGGCGGCGGTGATTCGCCGTAGGCGTCTTCGATACGCCGCCCCCCGTCGATTCATCGCAGGGTGCCTGGCGTGCTAATCCTTTCTGTTCTGGTTTTGGTTCTTGAGAAAAACTGCCCCTGGGGCTTCGGCCCGTCCCGCCGGCCGGCCGGAAAGATTGCCCAGCTTCTCCAAAGGGTTGTTCCTCCTCCAGACGGCTCCACGACGGCCCAGGATGGGCTCCATGACGCCTCCAAGACGGCCAACATGGCCTCCAAGACGGCTCAGATGGCCCAAGAACGCCTCTCAGATGGCCCAAGATGCCTCCAAGACGGCCTCAGATAACCTCAAGATGGTTCCAGACGGCCCCAGAGGCCCCCAAGAGCCCCCCAAGACGCCTCCAAGAGGTCCTCAAGGAGGGCCCGAAGAGGCCAACATCATTGAGTGTCCGTAGGTTTTCGAAGGATTTTGGCATGTGCTTCTTTTCGGCCTTCCGACTGCTCAAGACGGCCCAAGAGGCCCCGAAGATCCGCCCAAGATCGCCCACGAGGCCTCCAAAATGGCCCCATGACGGCCCAAGAAGCCCCCAAGACAGCCCAAGGAGGGCCCCAAGACGGCCCAAGAAGCCTCCAAGACGCCCAAGATGGCCTCCAAGACGGCTAAGATGGCCCCAAGATGCCTCCAACACGGCCGAAGATGCACCCAAGACGGCATAAGATGGCCTCCAGATGGCCTACGACGGCCCAAGAGGCCCCCAAGAGGCCTCCAAGACGGCCCAAGAGGCGTCCAGGAGGTCTTCCAGAAGAGCATGAAGAGGCCACAATCATTGATTTGCCTTGAGATTTTGAAAGATTGTGGCATTTGCTTCTTCTCGGCATTCCGACGGCTTAAGACGGCCCAAGAGGCCCCCCAAGATCGCCCACGAGGCCCCCAAAGATCGCCCACGAGGCCTCCAAAAAGGCCCCATGACGGCCCAAGAGGCCCCCAAGACGGCCCGAAGAGGGCCCAAGAGGCCTCCAGGACGGCGAAAATGGCCTCCAAGACGGCTAGGGTGGCCCCAAGATGCCTCAAAGACGGCTCCAGATGCACCCAAGACGGCATAAGATGGCCTCAAGACGGCCCAAGACGGCCCATGAGGTCTTCCAGGAGGGCACGAAGAGGCCAACATCATTGACTTGCCTTGAAATTTTGAAAGATTTTGGCATTTGCTTCTTCTCGGCCTTCCGACGGCTTAAGACGGCCCAAGAGGCCCCCCAAGATCGGCCAAGATGGCCTCTAAGAACCCCTGATATGCCCCGAGAGGGCCCTCAGACAAGCCAGGAACGCCGTAAGACGGCCACAGAGGCCCCCAAAAAGCCCCCAGAGGCCCCCAAAACCCTCCAAGAGGCCCCCATGAAGCTCAGAGGAGGCTCCAAGATTGCCCCAAGAGGCGCCCAATAGGCCTCCTCCTCCTCCTCCTCCTCCTCCTCCTCCTCCTCCTCCTCTTTTTTCCTCATCCTCCCCCTCCTCCTCTTCTTGCTCCCCCGTGCGTTCCCCGAAGGCTTTCGAAACCGACTCGGGGAACAACTGGCCCGATAGCTTGGCCAAGCTCTGCCCCAGCTGTCGGCCATAGAGGCGCTTTCAAAGGGGCAGGGGGCGGCGATGATTCGCCGTTGGCGTCTTCGATCCGCCGCCCCCTATTGATTAATCACAGGGGTGCCGGGCGTGCTGAATCCTTTCAGTTTTAATTCTTTTAGAAAATCTGTTATTAAACTCACTGGGGCCTCGGCCCGTCCCGCCGGCCAACCGAAAAGCTCTTCCAGAGGTGGTTACAAAAGTTGCTCCTTGTCCAGGCGGCTCCAAGATGGCCTCCAAGATGGCCAAGATGGCCCAAGATGGCCTTCAAGTTCGCCCAAGATGGTCCAAGATGGCCTCCAAGACGGTCCAAGAGAGTCCAAGATGCCTCCAAGCTCGCACAAGAAACCTCCAACCCCAAAGGCCTCCAAGACGGCCCAAGAGGCCTCCAAGAGGTCCTCCACGGGGGCCCCGAAAGGCCAAAATTCACGGTCTTCCTACGGTTTTTTAAGGATTCTGGCTTTTGCTATTTTCCAGACGTCCGGGAGGCCTCCAAGATGGCTCCAGAACGGTCCAAGAGGCCCCCAAGCCAGCCCCAAGAGGGTGCCAAGACGGCCCAAGAGGCCTCCAAGACGACCAAGATGGCCTCCACGATGCCTCGAGACGGCTAAGATGACCTTCGAGACGGCCGAGATGGCCTCCAAGACGGCAGAAGTATCCTCAAGAGAACC